ATCTCCACCGAGGCATGGCACACCACCGGTGCGCTCTGCCACCCCTCCAGCACGACCTCTTTCCCCTGCCGCTGCCGGCGCTCAGCTTTCGAGCACGCCCATGACCAACTATGGATCTTTCGACTCTCGTTCGCGAAACGCCGGTGCTGGTGCCTACGAAGACCCCGAGATTGTCAAGAGGCATTTGGTCCAGCCCACCGACGCTGCTTCTGAAGAGTCTAGCATGCGTGATGGTGTGAAGGGCAAGCAGGCCGTGAACGCCGACGCCGAGACCGGACTGAACGAGGACGAGTTTTCGAGTTTGCAGCTACAAGGCGGAGACGTGACTCGAGGCATTTACAAGTGGACCGAAGAGGCAGAAGCCCGCAACAAGATGCAGCGCAGCAAGAGTTTCAGCGTTTCACGTCCGGACCCCGAGACTGATATTCTTGATATCAATACAATCAAAGTTCCCGGGGGTTTCCGTCGCAACTACCTCCGTAGAGCGGCAAGAAGCCCCTCCACGGCCAGAGATGGTGGTGAGCGCGGCGAGGCTAGCGAAGCTCCCCAGCCTCGGCTGCTGACGTCCAGTTTCCTCGAGTTCCTCTCGATCTATGGTCACTTCGCTGGTGAGGAGTTGGAGGAAGACGACGAGGCCCTACGACCCGGCGAATACTTCTCCTCAGGCGAGGACATGTACGAAAGCGACGACGAAAGCGATGACGATAGAGAGCCTATGGAAGACAGCGCGCTGTTGACACCGTCGCGCCACAGAAGGAGACGCAAGCAGCGTGGCGGCAGTGGAAAGAACAGTCCTATGAGTGCGGCGCTGCTTCTGCTCAAGTCATTCGTCGGTACGGGGGTTCTCTTCTTGCCTCGCGCTTATCTGAACGGTGGTATGGTCTTCAGCAACGCTGTCTTGCTTGGGGTTGCAGCGCTGAGCTACTACTGCTTCGTCCTGTTGGTCACGACTCGTCTCAAGGTCGACGGATCTTTTGGTGATCTTGGCGGCATTCTTTATGGCAAGTGGATGAGGGCGACTATCCTATCGTCTATCGTTATAAGCCAGATCGGGTTCGTGGCAGCGTACATGGTCTTTACGTCAGAAAACCTGCAGGCCGTTATTCTAGCGGTATCGGACTGCAAATCCAATATCGCTGTCAAGTGGTTGATCCTCTTGCAGGTGCTTGTCTTCCTCCCATTCTCCCTACTGCGAGATATCGAGAAGCTGAGTTTTACTGCTCTTATCGCGGACGCCTTCATTCTACTTGGTCTGGCATACCTGCTATACTACGACATCCTTACCTTGGCCACCAATGGTATCGCCGACATCATCCAGTTCAACCGCAACGACTGGACCTTGTTCATAGGCACGGCAATCTTTACGTTTGAAGGAATTGGCCTCATCATCCCTATTCAGGAGTCGATGAAGAACCCCAGCAAGTTCCCTCGTGTCATGTTGGCGGTCATGATCATCATCTCGGTCATCTTCATCGGCATGGGTGCCATCTCCTACGCCGCCTACGGATCCAAGACCGAGACTGTGGTGCTCCTCAACATGCCCCAAGACAACAAGGCTGTCAACAGTGTCCAGTTCCTTTACTCCATCGCCATCATGCTGTCAATTCCTCTTCAGCTTTTCCCCGCCATCAAGATTACTGAGAATGCGTTGTTCACCAAGAGCGGAAAGTACAACCCCTACATCAAGTGGCAGAAGAACCTCTATCGCTTTTTCTTTGTCATTCTTTGCGCCGTCATCGCATGGGGTGGTGCGGATGATCTAGACAAGTTCGTTGCCCTCGTCGGTAACTTTGCTTGCATTCCACTTGTCTACATCTACCCGGTGAGTACAATGATGCACATGACCTAATTTGTCAATATAGAACCTGACTGCTAACCCTGAAATAGCCCCTGCTTCACTACAAGGCCGTTGCGAGAAACAGGCTCTGGAAGATTTCCGATATCATACTCTGCATCTTTGGCTTTGTCGCTATGGCTTATACCACAACCTTGACTGTTTACAGCTGGGCTGGTGGCTCCGATGGCGCCAAACCTCCGGCATACTGCGACCGCAGGGGGAAGTAAATCGGCACAAAGTGCCTGAGGGAAACGCATGCGACTGCATTTTTTAACTGTCATTCAGTGCTGTCTGAAAAGCGTTGGGTAATCATTGCATGGATTCCAGCGGGTTCTTCAAGGGTTTTGGACAGCATCGGCCGGTCGTCAATGAGCATGGGCTTGTACATAGACTGAAGAACAAGAGGCTCATCGCCACGTTTATAGTTCTGTATGTGTATACGTAGCAGTGGTTTTCAATCGACTTATCCTTCAATTCCTTTCGAAAATCATCTGAGAACATAGAGGCCAAGAAGTTGGGAATTTCTTATGGCTTGGCGAATTTCAATCTAATCTATCGAGGTGAAATGAAGATGAAGGAAGACGTGGAAGGTCGTGATAGCTTATGCACCGCCACATTTTTGCATCTGTGGCGCAGCCCAAATTCTCCAGGACCCACTAGGACTCCAGCCCATCCTTACTGAGAAGGAGCCTGAGCTTCACCACGTCCAACTCACTCACCAGCATCTCTCATACCCCAGCTAAACTCTCAAATTCCATCATATTACCAACCAAAGGGTAATCATCAATTACTCCTTATGAAAGAACGTTGCACTAACCATAATACAGTTTCACTTCGGTGTTCTGCGTTCAATTATTTCCAACCACGCATTGTCTTCAGCTTTGTCCTCAAAGCCCCGTCACAACCGACTCCACCATCCCCTTCACTATCACGAATCACCAAGATGAACGCGCCTGATCGGTAAGACAATCTTTATGCTTTTATTTGATGAGATTTGGAGGGAGTCTATGTCTGCCTGGTTGGAAGACGGACTCGAAACGGCTTCACCCTTGTCATGATTCCCTTCAGGCTTCCCTTCCCGTTGCCCTCGAGGAGGTGGCCGTGGTCTTCTCCTAGCTTCCTTGCCGGGCTCTGACAGAAGCGCCTTCGAAAGGCATGGAGCTACATCTTCAAATCTCTATCCTACATGTCAACGTTGTTCCTGTTGTTCCACGCACACAAACCGTCGCATCACTGCTTTCTCAGGCATATCAAGACTTCAAGACTCCAGAACCACCCTTTCTCAACACATCTGAGCCACATCATGTCTTCCCAATCTGAGAACCTTCCTCCTCGGCGCGTCTTTCTTCAAGTAAACGGAACCTGGAAATTGAGCTAACTCTTTAATAGTTTCGAGCTCTTCCTGCTCGGTGAAGGCGAGAAGAAGATCGAGGAGAATGTCTTCTCTGGTACGATTTGTAGACCCTTCAGCCATTCTCCTAGCCTTTCGTCCAAGCTAAACGCTTTCCAGGAATGTCCAACACGTCCGACTTCGTCATCAAGAAGGAAGACCACACTCTTGGCAACCTCCTGTCCGAGCACCTGAAGATGCACAAGAACGTTCTCATGGCGGGCTACAAGAGTAAGGCGCATTGCCCTTCAACCAGCGTCACGCATGCTAAACCTTTGTCACAGTCGCGCATCCAAACGTCCCCGAGATGTTCATTCGAGTCCAGACAGACGGCGAGATCACCGCCAAGGAGGCCTTGGTACAGGTCATCAAGAAGCTCATGCAGGACTTGTCCCACCTCAGTCGCGAGTTTACTCGCGAGTTCGAGCTTCGTCGCATGGTCGAAGCCGGCCGTTCGAATCAGCAGGGCCAGTAAGGCGGACATACTTGAGACGATGGGTTATATCTCGCGTGGGATTTTTCCTCTGGGCGTTAGGCGGATAAGGTCATTACGGAATAACAGTCTGATACCGAAGTTTGGCATGGGGAATTGTCATATTGGTTTTCGCATTCCGGGCTGAGATGGGGCCTCGGATTAGAAAAAGTTGATCATTGCGCATTACGTCGTCAATTTCGCGATGCTTTGAAAGGCTCCTTACGTGACATTTTTGATGTGTATGCCCAGTCCCTTGAGGCCCTCTTTCGTGTTTTACCCTTGGGTAGCGAGTCAACGCCTTCAGCCGTCATGGCATTGCTCGTACCACCCTGGTGCCTCTCTCATGCCACCCCTTAGGTTAGAGAAATCATGAGCCTAATATATCTGTGATCTTGAGGAGCGGCTGCCTTTGCTCAAATACGTCCCTTGTCCCAACTTCTTCATGCGGTCACCGGACCCTCTCCTCCAGGAATGAGCTGCTCGTCATCAGTCTCTCTCTTCCCCTCTCCCAGAAAACCCAATAGGAAACATGACGTACCATGCAGATGTTGTTGCCGTTCAGCAGGATCTTGGGAAGCTTTGTGTGGTTGCCAGAGTAGTCGCTAGCCCGTAGTTAGCAGGGGTATACGTTTCCGTCAAAACGGCCACACACAATTCTGTCACGTCCTCCAACACCATGTCTGTTTTTTCGTTAGATATTTCCAGCGAATGAGTAGCACAACATTCAAAATTTACTTACTGACGTAGTCATCGAAACCCAGGAGCGTGCCGCTGAATTCTGCCATCCTTTGAGTCAGCAGATCAGGTTCACTCGAGCCCATGATGGTCAGCCGTACCCTTGTCACCCTTCATAACAACCCAGATCCTCGATCCAACACATTTGTCGATAAGTTCTGTCGTTGTCAGCTTCGATGATCTGCGATCATGGGCTTGTCCACTCACCCAGAGGGAGCAGTTGCGACGCCATTTTGCCGCTTAAATCTTCGAATCTGGTGGAGATTCTGAACTATTCACGTTTGAAGTCTCCTCGTAGGGGTTCCGCAGGGATTAAAGTCGTCAAACGAAATGATGGTCGTTTCGATACACCAAACGAAGGTTCTTTGCCTGACCAAAACGTCGCTGCTCAAGATGATGGACGTCGTGCACTTAGGCCGGAGGGGTGAGCGTAAAAGCCCATGTCAGGTGACTGCGCGATGAGCTGTGAATGACTAAGCCACCATTGGAGCTCCCAGCTGCTGCTGCCGCCAACTGGGCGCGTATCACCCACCGAGCCTACGGCGTACTTTAATCGAACCCCTCCAACACCTACGACGCGTCTGCCTGAAGAATACCGTTCTTCACCTTGTCGCGCCAATGCCCGGTGGCAAATATGGCGCTTCACTCCCCCCTCAGATGCACCCGCGAGTAGCGGTGATGAGCTTCCCTAGACGCAGCAGTTCTATTCTATATAATCATCGACTTTTGCCGAGGTCGGTGCTGGTCCAAACGTACGAACACCCTTTTCATCGAATTGCAAGCTGCCCTTGGCTTTGTACTTACAGTATCGACAACTCGCAGGCGTTTCAAATCAACAATGTATCCTTCTTCCTACGCCAGACTATGGAACCCAATACGAGGCATCGTCTTTGGCCAAGCGAGTCAGAACGAGACGTCCCATCCTCGAGTGGACATGCTGCGTTCTCTCCACACCACGACGCCAGGAAACAGCCAGCCCTCAGTCGCGACGAAGTCGAGTAACGAGATTATCGACTCTGACAGCGATGACCTGCCTTTCTACACCGCTCCGGAGTACCAGCCCGCGCTAGACAACGTTCCCACTGCCCAGACGCTCCAAGCAGAGACCGAAGGGGGTCCGAAGGAGGCTAAGGCCGAGGCCGAGACGAAGGCGGCTACAGAGCCAGCAGATCTCCCGCAGACAGACTTGGATTTCAAGATCCCTCTGCCGACATTTCGGAAAGCCCAAGCTGCAAAAGAGAACACGGGGGACTCGTTCTGGTCTTACACACTCTTTCGAGGACCCCCGGTAGACGGGGTCGAGCAAAAAGTCAAAGTGCACTACTGCAAGACCAAACACACCATGGAGAGAGTGTGTCAATACTTTGTGAATGATTCGGTGCTTGGGTTCGACCTCGAGTGGTTCCCGGATGCGAAGAAGACCTCGGGTCCGAAGAAGAATGTCTCCTTGATCCAGGTCGCCAACGAGAGTCGGATCGCTTTGTTTCACATTGCTTTGTTTCCCACCGACGACTTTGTCGCTCCAACATTCCGGAAGATCATGGAGGACTCGGACGTGCGAAAGGTCGGCGTGAACATCAAGGGCGACTGTACGCGGATACGAAACCATCTGCAGGTCGATACGAGGGGAGTCTTCGAGTTGAGCCACTTGTATAAGCTTGTGAAGTACTCAGCAAGTGGTGAAGTGAGACTGATCAACAGGAGGCCTGCACCTCTGGCTACAATGGTCAAGGAACACCTTGGTCTTCCCATGTTCAAGGGGCAGGATGTCCGGTCGAGTGACTGGTCCCAGTCCCTGAACATGGACCAGCTCATGTGTAAGTGCTTGCAGAAACTTTTCTCTACTGCTTGCTAACTCTGCCTAGACTCTGCTTCAGATGCTTATGCCGGTTTTCAACTATTCCATGTTCTCAATGGGAAGCGCAAGAGCCTCGATCCAACTCCGCCGCTCCCATATAATGCTGAGCTCGGCCTGAGCATCCGGCTCGCAGACGGGGTCACCCTTCCAATGGCAGAAGAGAATACTGAACCTCTAGAGGCTGACCCGCGCAACATCTCAGCACCTCTGTCGGCCTCGGAGTGCCAGGCAATCAGAGACAGTCTCGAAGTTGAAGCAGATGGCGAGGGTCAATCAATCGCCGAGAGCGTGAGAGCCGCCAAACCGGCTGCTCAGACCCAGAAGCGCCAGAAGGACGCCAGGGTCGTTGCTGCCGATGAGAAGCTGGCCAGCTACCGGGCCACAATCAAATCCCTCCGCGCCTCACCTTCCGCCGTACGATCCTACTTCATCTGGAACGATAACGAGGACCTCACGCCCGAGGCCGTTGCCAAGGTCCTCCGAGACCCGCCGCTCCAGACGAACACGGTGGTGAGCTACATTCTGGAGGCTCTCAAGTTGGAAAAGCTGCCGTTTGATAAGAAGCGGCTGCGAAACGAGATTCTGCACACGCTGCCGAAGGAGGTTCTGCAAGGCAGGTACAAAGCTTTGATGTTGGAGGCTCATAAGCCCGATACTGGGGCCCCTTCTCTGGTTGCGTGAAATGATGCGCAGCTACGTACACGAAGAGGATGCATGACGAGTCCACGAACCAAGAAAAATACGTTGTGCAGTTCAGCATTGGATTCATGCATAATAGAGATACCCGCATTGGTTACATTTCACCTCCCTCCACAAGCATAGTCTTCGCTAGTAATCAGCAGCCCGTGAGACTTCATATGGACGCGTCAACTCTTTGCCAATCGCCGAGCCGCACGTCAGCCACAGCCGCCCCTGCATGTTTCGAAACATGAATTACGGTAGGGCTCTTGTGATTGGTGCTCTTGTTATGTCTTCATGATGTCCGTCGTCCATCGTGTATTCCACTATAACAATACGCAACCGCCCTTGATGAACCCTCATCCCCATGGTTCCATAATAGGCACCAGAGACGACCCAGTTCATCAACAAGCACCGTCCGTTGTAGTCGATGGCCGAGCGGTACGATTTCTGGTAAAGAACGTATGTTGGCTCACGGTCCTACATAATGCCATGGATAGCTCGTTTTTTTGCGCGCAATAGGTCGCGGGTTCGAGTCGACTTTTTGTTTTGTTTTTTGCGCCATGGGGATAAGCTATTATTTTTCCCATTTTCTATCTAAGCATTTTCTTGGATCAGTTATTCAGGCATGTGATGCATGTCCGTAAGCTTGTCTTTGAGGGGAGAGGCACGGCACAGCACAGCACCACACCGGACTCGTGCTGTTTACTCCCATTGCCTGGGTGACATGACTTTGGGGTTACACGACATGGGAGACCTGCCCCGTCGCCGTCGTCGTCCTTGTCATCGCGTCGTTTAATTTGGTGTCGGACGATCTCTCTCGTCACAGCCACAATCTTGCGCGGCGCGATGAAACGTTGTTGACATTATCTATCTATGATTGTCGGCGCGTGATGTGAGGATTCGGGGCTTTATTTGATAGCCTCTTTTCTAACTTGCCACGTTTTTCGAGTCACGGTGTAAGCATCAAAGCATATGTGAAACAAAGGATATGTTCGGCCGAGTTCAGAGTGCCGTCGTCGTTTGTAGAGAGTACATGCGAGATGTAGCAGTCAACGTGGTACGATGCGAGATGAACTACACGTGTGGTGGCGAACAGGTTGGGTATGCGTTGAGAGCATGGGAGATGCTTATTACTACTACTTGTCCTCGAAAGATGTGCCTCAGTCACTAACCAGAAAGAATACCAGCTGCGCTGTTATTTTGTTACAAATTACAACCCTCTTTGACGGTTCGTCACTTGTACAAGTCCAGGGAGGTGACAAGTACAAGAATACCATCAACATACAACATAGTGACGATTGCCAACTGTGGAAGAAACAGATGCTAGGGAGATTCTGATAATCATAGAGCAGCGAATGCGAGACTATGCTTGTTCAGTACACATGGGTTCAGACGAGCATGCGTTCCTATCCTATTCAGTCGCCCTCATAACCATGATGAAGGGGAGTTGGCTCAAGTCCTAAGCTAGGCCAGCTCAGGTGTCCTTCGCAGTTGGCCACGACTGACATCCGAGGTTGAAAATAACTCGGAATGGCCGAGCGAACAGGCCTCACGGCTTTGCAGCGAGGAAACAAGTTCGACATCATCCCGAATCTGTCGCAGCTTGCGAACGGCCTTCCAAGCAGATCATCATCCGATTGTGGCCCGCCCGATATTTCCTGGTTATTGACGTCTTTGCCTGGCCCGTCCGAAGTCTGGCATTATAGGGCTGTCTCTGCAACTGCATCAAAGAACTCTTTACAATCTCTAGAACCAGGATCGTGCTCGGTCCTCGAAGGTCGTGAGGTGACGTCTGGGATGATCTCGGAGAAGCGCTCGGGCTGTTTTGGCGGTGCTTTTCCCGTACGGTTCCTGCCTCTTCCATGCATCATTGACATGCTTCCGACCCGAGACCTTCGTTCGTGTGATCGGATTGCGAAACCAATTCATAGCTCCTTCTTTTCTTACCTGCGTTTGGGACTTGACGTGTGGACTTCGCCGGGTGTTGTACCAAACTGCTCAGACCTCCGGCCCCGGTGATCCCGATTATCTGGATTATACGGGGTGTGGTACCAAGAATGAATGGGTGCCATCTTGACATGCCCTTCGTTTACTCCAAACAATTATGTGGACTTGAGGCTTGCTGAAATATTTTGAACTGGAGATGAGGCACTCCGTTGAACATGCAATACATCTCGGCCTAATTCTACCAGGTTGTCGAGTAAAGCACGGCTATTCCATCCATGCTCGTAACGAGGCTCGTTCCTGTTATGTTCAGTGGCTTCTTGTCCTTGGCCAGGCGTAGGAAGGAAGAGTTTTGGCCATGTCCGAGGCCCTTTTGCGATCCCACTTGTGGATGCTGCCAACCGATCGGCTCATGGTGCTTGAAAGCTTATCGAGATAGCTGTGGAGAGCCAAGGGACCAAGCATGCTCTTCAGCTTGGTGACCAAGACTGATATCTAGACTTCAACTCGAAACCAATGGCAATCCGAAGAGCAAATGAGCAGTGGCACCATGTGGGGCATAATGAAGCTTAAGCCACACCCAATTTGCACCACATGCCCTGGATATTCTCGAAATTTCGACGGAAATCATTGTGAAATGCTCTCTGTAGTGCCTGGAGTGGCCCTTTGCCGTGTAATTCGACGCCAAGGTATACTGCATAGTCCACAAGACAGTCGATACCGCAAAGGCGTACAAGGGATTGGATGCTTATAGGAGAAACTAGAAACAGGTGGCGCTTCGGCTGAGGCGGTATGTGGCTAAGGCTTCAGACTCTCGAAGGCTTCTTAGGCAGTACTGCGAGTTCGGCCTGTGCCAAGTTCATCGCGAAGGTGTTGTGTTTAACGAGACATGAGAACATATGTGGAGGAAGTAGGTATACGGACAATACCGAGACCCGAACTTTTGTCTAGATCTAGACTAGCACACCAAGCTAGAGACTGGCTACGCGGCCGTTGTCAAAAATTTTGTTCCAAGAAGGAATCGCGAAGGTGGACTTACGGGGACGCTTCAGACCTTGGCATAGTCATCTCACTGTCCAGCTGGGTCCTGCACCGAGTGGGACGTCTGTCTCTACGCAGTAGTTGCTACCTTAGTCGGTGAGATTGCAGATGAAGGTGGGACGGGACCAGATCCGTCATGACATCAACCAGGGGTGTATCCGTCAAGTAAATGGGTCTCGATGAGCGCGCTTTCAAGTCAAATATGGAGAATGAAGGCTCGGAAGCGACATCCTTCGTCCCTGTAGACTTGAGAAAAGACCTGCAGTCTCCAGGTGGCCCGTTATAGGAAGTAGTACGAAAATCGGATGGCACAACTGATGCTTTCTGCTGAATGCTGCCAAGTCCGAAGCTCCTTGGGCGTGGCATGTGGTCGCGAATACAAACGCGGTTGGATGTGTCACGGTGTGGAGGGAACCAAGAGAGAGCATCAGCCACGGCATCAAGGCAATCATTTTGGACCGGCCGGCAGCTGTAAAGCCGGGAAGCCGCCACTAGGCTCTGGAGACTGGATCGATTTTCAGCGGGCAACTGCCAGCTGAAAGTCCCCGCTGACAAAATGCAGCTGCGAGTCGCGCGCTGCATCCCGCCCCAAATAGTCGGGGAACCGTGAACGTGGCAACGAACCGACGTCGCCAACCGCAGCCGCCCAGGAAAGAAAGCAGCCAGGTCAAACGATGCAAGCAAGAGATGCCAGTGAGCTATGGTGCCTCAAGATAAACCAATGGTGAGGAGGAGGAACACCAGAAATCTAAAGAAGCACTGGCCAGTGAAATGACCACGAACGGTTGCCACACGAAACTGTCCGACCTCCTCCCTCGCGCTAGTGTAGTCGGGTGTTCCCAAGCCATCCGCCATCTGAACCACCAATCTCTAGCGTCTGCTTCCAAGTTCCCACTTCTCTTTCTCTCACTCTCTCAAGCCGCAAGTCGATTGAGATAGCGCGCAGCCGCCGCTGGTCGCCGTGCGCAACGTCTGGGTGACGACCTGGGCTGCGTCGTCGTTGGTGCTATTATCCAGTTGCCGCTTCCTGCGTCTCTAGCGCCTCTTATCGCACTGCCGCCTGCAAGCTGCTGCAGAGGTGAGAGCCAGTGGCATTGTCGCACAGCTGCCATGACACCGACGTGTGCAACCTTCACGTCACCTTCATCTACCTCTGTACGGAAGCAAAACATAGCAAATACCTAGTCCGGGCTACGTAGGTAGTGGAAAGGAAAAAGGAAGTGGAGTGTATCTTTACCGCATGTACTCTGGAACATTGACTTTGGAGACGTCGGGAATATTCTGCATCGAGCGGGGGCAGAGACTGCATGTTTCAAGAAGTTTACCAGCGTGACATGGACTGTAAGGTAATTTAAGCTGCGAGAAAAAAAAAATGAGCGACCAAAGATTCAGGGTTCCCGCCGGCCCAGGCTTGTTTCGGGGGCGGGGAAAGCTGTTGAAATGAGGAGACGTGCGGAATGGAATGCTTCTTTCCCTGGACGGATTCAGCTCTACCGGTTCATGGAAGACGCCTAGAAGACCTGGGCTTTTCCTGTTCCTTTGTTCTCATCTTTCCATGTTCATTTCATCTGGCACATGTCCGAGACCTACATGAAGACTCTTTCGGGGCTTAAGCTGCGCTAATCAACAAGATGACGAAGACGACCAGACGAGACAGATTAGACCAAAAGTACTTTGTAGATTTGGTTGCATATCAGGTAATCAGAGTTGGAGATGAGGCCCAGAGAGGAGTTGATGCGGTCCAGGGGTGGAAACGACCAGGTGCGGGTTGGAAATGAGAATAGCATGCGCCTGAGGTGGGAAACAAAATGGCGGTTTATGCCGCGTGGTTTACGATTAATATTACCTTACCTAAGTACATACTCACAGTTGTTGCCAGCTGCAGAGGTAAACTCGATGGATGTATCCGAAGTACACTTCCATACTCCATCTCGTCCATATTGCCAACAGGACTTCGAAATTAAAAGAATCGACGGGTAGAGGCAGCCGTTTACGCCGGGATCTTCAATGAAAGAAGGAACTTTCCCAAGCTCCTGACTAGCAAATGGGGCTCCGGTTGACGCAGCGGGGACCAAAAAGAAACGGCTTGATCCCGTGGCGTAGTAGCCCGCTACGTCAGTTCAAGACATTTTACACCAACACATCCAATTTGACCCGTTTCATCGAGGTATTTTCCTATCAGCATCCGGCTAATGCTTCCTACTAGTCAGGGGTCTCGGCAGCAACAGTGCACAAGCAGCGCCGGTTCCTGAGCCGCGACACCACCACCACCACCACCACCACCACCACCTCACTATCAATGACTCTGAGTCCACTCGGGCACTCCAGCAAAATCCAAGACTTCCAGTTTCTGAACCACTTCTGCCACTCCCACTCGCCCGCCGCCCGCCCGCGCCTTCTCTTCGGCGCGTCCTCTTTAGCGGGCGGGCATTCCACACTTGCGAGACCTGGCCATCCATCCCTGTCTCCTATCTTTTCGTCCGTGAGCCGCGGCAGTTCTGCCCGCATGTCCTCTGCCGTACAAGACAACCCGAAAAGGTACTTACAAAAAGATATGTACCTTGCACACGGATTAGTCGCCTACAAGACATGGTAAATTTGGGGAGGGGATCCAATCCAATCCATCCTACGCACCCATCCCTTCCTCAATCATCAAAGGAGGTTGCCTTTTCGCCCCTTCCTAACACCGCCCCGGGTTACGAGTACGGTGTACACTCCGTAGGGTACCTTATAGTACTGCGGGTTCCTCGTGGGCAAAGATCTATCCAAAAGACCCGGAAATCGTCTGCCAATTGATTGTGAATCATGGAAGGGGCGGCACCCACTTGACGCGCGAATCTCCGGGTCCCCTTCTGCCAATTTACCAGATTGCCAGATTGCTGAGCTTTGAATAAAGTCTTTCGAAGCCTGACGCCAGTCCTACGACGTCAAACGCCGTCCCTTCCACCCCCCTCTTCCATCCCAATATGCCAATCCTACCCTGATTTTGCCATCGCCATCCCGCTGTTGCAGTGACTGGACTGAGTCTAGGTTACCCAGTTTGTCAGTGCGCACTTGACGACCAAGCAACTTGCCCTGTATTCGCTGTACCACTTGTAGTAGTGTGATGGGAGTCGAATGGCGTGGATGTACCTCTATCTGTGTTTGTACACGACATTGAGCGGAGGTCGTAGTTGCAGTGCTCCTGAAGATCAAAGCTAATTGGCATCTACACTATCTTTGCCATTAATGCCAACTTCTTCTCCCTGTCCTGACATTATCCGTGCTTTTCTGATTCTCCTCTTCTCTTCTTCATCTTCATCTTCATCTCCATCAATCACTCGCTTCCCACAGTCGTTGCCCTCTTTATCGTTGCACAAACTCTCGTATCCAGAGCGTTCGTTATCACACGGAAAACATCCTCACCGACCTGACCGACACTCGCTCGCTCGCTTTCGCGTCGCAATTCGTTACTAGTGTCCTCTCTCGTTCCCTCTCACCTTGGCTTCACCTCGTCGCAAACTCCGCAGAAGCAGTAGACCTACCTACCTCACTGTGCCAAGGTAGCTTACTGCAGTAACCTCGCTGTTCAGGGTCGCCGCTGCACTGCTTGCTTTTTCTCCCTCTGCTTTTTTAGTCTTTTGGTCTTGCTCGAGCAAGGAAGGCACCGGTTCATTTTGTCTAATGAGAAAGGAGAGACCAGGGGTCCCCCTTCTCTCCTAAACCGTTCTGAAGGTCCCACTTTCACTCGAACCCCCCGTGCCTGTCCGTCCCCTCCTTCCCTCCCTCTCTCCTCCCCAAGCCACTCCCAGACGCCCACCACGTCCACCACCATCTCATTCTCACCACCACGAATACCCAGGTACCCTCGCTTTTTCCTGAGGTATCGACCAAGACTGACTGGGGAGGAAACACTGACACTGGGGCTCCCTCCTTCCCCTAAAGTGCCACAAACCACGCCAGGCGCCATCCACCAAACTGACCAGACGAAGCCTCAACGTCTCCAAATTTAAACCTGTCTACCTACCTTACCTACCTACCTGTCCAGTCCCGCTATCTGAGGTGCTCTTTTTCTTTCCTGGCCCCGGGTCCCTAAGGTAGCGAGAGAGAGAGAAAGATATCAAGGCACAGCTACCTATCGTTACCGCACTATTTTACCTGCCTCCACTTCTTCTCCTGCGTCGCACTGAGAGCTGCAGCACACCTCACTCTCGCCTCCCGTCCTTCACTGCACTAACATCTGCACCCGCCTGGCACACTCAAGCACCGCGACGGGTTTACTACGCCATCGTCCCCAACTCTAAAAATTCCACCCCCCGTCAGACATAAACACGGGCACCTCACAATCCAACCCTCGCGGCCCGCCCCTGACCTGACCGCGCTGCCTCCGACCTCGAAGCCTCTTTTTCCCTCCAACAACCCAATTCACCACTCAGACCGCATACTTTCGCTGGTTGTGAATTCAACACTCCTTCACACTTTCAACCCCATTGCGAGTCGACAATACTTCAACGGCGGTGGGAAAAAAAAACACAGCATCCTAAATTAAGGAGACTCTCACCCAGCACCTGCTGTCATCTGTCTTTGACGATTCGGCCGTTACCCCTAACCTCAACGCCAACGACCAAAGGGGTAAATCGACTTCTTCAACACCCCCCAACTTTCGCTGCCGTTTCCTTACTTTTCCACAACCGCAACCGGTCGATCGCGTCTCTTTTTCCAACCCCGGAACAGGATCATTGTCTTGTCAAATCGGCCAGGGGCCCCATCGCCAATCATGGCGAACACGTACGTTGGCATCCGTTCTTTCAACCGTTCAGTCCCCTTTTCTTGGGACGCCCAAGAGGACCGAGACATTGACTTTGCCATGACAGGTTCGGCTTCGGTGCGGCTATGCGCTCTCTCTGGCACGATCTGACCAGCTACGACCGACGTACGTTTAACCCTCCCGAACGACCTCTGCAATGCCTACCTCTGTCACAAAACTAACTTACCTTAGACTCTACGATTGACTCTCCTCACCGAACCGGTCGCCACGTTCCTCTGAATCGCCAGAGCGGCATCCTTACTTCCGTCGCGACAGCCTCCGAATCCCGCGCCGATGTATCCTCTCCCTTCGCCGACGATTATAACAGATTCTCGCGCGAGAATAGCTACCAGGGCGGTGGCATGCCCTACACACCAACTAGCCCCAACCCTTCTGCGCCCTACTCCCCAGGTCTGAGATCTCAATCTGCTCGCCGCGAAAGCCAGCACGATGGCTTTGAGCTACAGAGCCCCGGAGACGTCCCCATGCAGTCTTTCCAGGACGGCTCACCTCCTCCCCCTCCCGTTTCGCACTCGTGGAAGAAGATTGACGCTTGGGCCGAAGAGCACTACCCTGAGCTGTGGGACCAGCTCTGCGAGGGATGTACTGATAACGATCTCAACGAACTGGAGCATCAACTCGACTGCTCCTTGCCCCTTGACGTGAGAGAGTCACTGATGGTTCACGACGGCCAGGAGCGCCTGGGAATGCCCACTGGTATCATCTTCGGCTCCATGTTGCTTGACTGCGAGGAGATCGTTCAGGAATGGGACCAGTGGCGCAAGGTCAACCAGGAATTCCTCTCAGAAGCGGCTTACCAAAGACCTGCCGCTCTCCCCAAGGCCCTCGGCAGCAGCAACCAGGCATCGTCTTCCAGAGAACCCGCATCTCCTGCGGTCGCGAACAATGGCTCTTGGCGTCAGGACCTCATTGCTCGCCAGGATTGCGTGCCCCCCAACGCAGTGCAGCGATCCTATGCCCACCCAGCCTGGATTCCTTTGGTGCGCGATTGGGGTGGAAACAACCTGGCTGTCGACCTCGCTCCCGGTCCCAGCGGCAAATGGGGGCAGATTGTTCTCTTTGGTCGCGACTACGATACCAAGTATGTCATTGCCCGCTCCTGGGCTCACTTCCTCGCCATGGTCGCGGACGACCTCTCGTCCGGCAAGTGGTTTGTGGATGAGGAGACCAACGAGCTCAAGTTGCGGGAGTTTAAGGAGACACGTGTTGAGCCTCCCTACTTTGGCATTCTTCGATGGCGCATGGATCAGAAGTACGGCCGAAGAGCTGCGAAGCGCAGATCGGTTGCACCTACTAACAGGGCCGGATCTCCCGCTGGATCTGGCGCCAACTCGCCGTACACGAGCGCGAGCCCGACGTCAGCGGAGCCTAATGGCGAACAACGAGGAAGATCAATGCAACGACTGGGAGGCACTTCTCCGATTGCCAGCCCCATTCGCCCCGTTTATGGCAAGTCCAGCCCCCTGGCACGAGTGGCCGAGGAAACCCCTCTGCCGGAGCTGCAGACAAACGGCCTCAAGCCAACGAAGCTTGTCGAAGTCGAAACTCCCCGGCCGAGCGAAGAGACCCCCAAGGGCTCCCGCGTGTCGCTACTTTCGCACGTCGAGACCGCGGAGGGCGAAGGAAAGGAGAACACAAACCCCGCTGGCAAGATGAATGGCACCGCCAAAGCCAACGGCAAGCAACCTGAGGTATCGGAGGAGCCGATGAAGGAGATCGAGATATAGAAGGTGTGCAAAACTGGATACGACAGAACGACGATACGGTTTCCCCTATTCTCGGGGTCTTGTTACGCGACAAGGCCCGTCATACAGCAAAACATCGGCGTTTGAGGCGTCCGTGACTCTAATCACTATGAGAGGACGTCCGCAGGGGGTCATACAACATTGAAGACTTTTTTTTTCGAGCATCAGGGAACACGGCGGCTGGGCTTATTTCCAAGTCTATTTTCTACTTCATTTTTTCCTCCTTTTTGGGCTCTCTCTGGAAAGGGCCGGGACCGGAATACGTCGGGTGGGCCTCTACCCATTCTGAGGTTTCTGCAGTCTATGGACATAGCTGCGCGGCATACGTACATTTGCACCAACCTGCCATATTCGGCCAATTCTCGTGGGCAGCCAGGCGGCTGTCTTGAGATGGGTGTTGCGGACCACGTCCTCCTAGATGAGGCGAATGGGACGATAATATCCCAAGCTGGAATTGGTAGGCGTGCCGGTAATTGTTAGTGTACTATTAGGACCTTTTGTCTACTTCTTTTTATCTCGAGCGCTCCGAGGCAAGGGCGTAGGATTAGTCCTCAATACAGGTTGGCTGTGACGGCCTTGGCCAAATCGTATTCTGTTTCTCGTGTCAATGTGAATTAAAAAGGCCTTGCACTTACGTGCATGTGTTTGGCGTGCAGCGGCATGCGCCCCTCAATTCCTCGTATTCCGTGCTACTGGGACCGATTCGTGTTTGCGGGGTGACAACGGGGGTCAACCTGAGCCGGGAGCATGGCGATGAACCGCTCCGCTTCGATCAGATCTACAAAGAAGGGTCCACGCCATGTCTTGAAGAATGAAATGTCGTTCATGAGCACGGGTGCAGGCAGAGTCATGTACGAAGCAGGGGACTTGGAGGTGTAAGCTATGAGTTGACTTGCTGATGGCGTCGCAACAGCACATATCTACCAAGGTAGTCTAAACATATGAAGGAGTATAGGATCCTTTCCTCAGATTCGATCATACGTTCAAAATGAGTGTTTTTCTATATTGTCTCGTTTCCCTTAGTTCCCTAAGATGTACCGACAGAGTCAAAGTGCACGAGTACCTTTGCAATGTAAAGATCATGTGACATGTCGACGGTCACGTGCTAACGACAAAGCTCAGGGACAGGGATCAGGTAGTGGGACTGTGACGCCTCAGCTGTGCCGGATCAACGTCAAGGCGACCAACATCCGGAACCTGCGCCTTCGTCACCCAAGCCTACCCTTACACCGAAGCAGACGACAGCAGACGACGAACAACGCACGCGCGGCTCAATCAACCCCGGCGATATACCGATAACACTCCTCTTCTTCTCCAAGAGCGTCGACTGCTCGAGAACACTCCCGACGACACACGCCCAGATCCCCGCCCGCCCGATCCATCTACAACGGTTCGCAGACTGGGAGCTATCTTCAGCTAACCGCTTCCGAAACCAACTACACCCCATAACCCAATCCATCCATCACCACATTCGCAACTATGGAGGAAGAGCGCCTCTGGAAGTTCAGCAAGCCGGAATGGCTCAATAGCGCTTGGGCTCGTAACTTTGGCGTCTACGGCGCCGGAGCTCTGGTAAGCTTGTCCCTCTTCTCTCGCCTGATACTCAGCCGCCAGTGTTGTGAGGTAGCACGCGAAGGAACATCCACTGGTATCCTTCTCCTACCAAATCCCTCCAAATAAATAAATAAAAACCATGGAAAGGAAAGAAGATTCAAGAACCCTGCTAACCGTCGTCAACCCCCCAGTTCTCCATCGCCTTCTACGTCATGCTCGACTCCGCCGTCTGGTCAAAGTCAGCCCGCAACGGCTCCGACACCCACGTCACTTTCGTCGACTGGCTGCCCCTCATCTTCTCCTCGCTCGGCATGCTCATCATCAACTCGGTCGAGAAGGCGCGCCTGTCGGCCGACAGCTTCTCCTACAGCGGCAACGGCGTCGCGTGGAAGGCCCGCGTCGTGCTGTTCCTCGGCTTCGCCGCGCTGGCCGGCGGTATGGCCGGCGGCGTGACGGTGTTTGTGCTCAAATTTGTCGTGCAGGATGTCGCCATGCCGGCGCTGGGCATGGGCATCGAGAACGTTGTCGCGAATGCGCTCGTGGGCTTGAGCAGCGTCGTGCTCTGGATTAGCCAGAATATGGAGGATGAGTATAGCTACAACCTTGCTCTGTAAAGGGGGGGAAGGGTGCTTTGTGGCTAGTCAGTCATACGGGGGCTGGCTGATCTTTATGGAGGAGTCTTTCCTGAGGCTATGGCATGGGCCTTTGGTATGGAGGGACCGATTTGGTTTATCCAGAATGGCTGAAGATTGTATGAACCGGGTGATTCGGATCGCAGGTGTATAATTATAGCACTGGGGATACTGTGGCGCATGGGTTTTGACATTGGCGGCATGGCTATAGTCTACTTTATTCCCTTTATTTGAGCCTTCTTTTCGCAGACTCTTCGGTCTGATCTATTTCCCGCCTCTCGAGGCTATATGCTCTTCACTCCATGGAGACACATATCGTTGCGATCTTCACCCCTGAGGGTATGGCCTGTAGTCACTAAAGTCCAACGGTCACTTTTCACTTCGGGGTTACTGGTTCGTCTGCTCCTCACAGGGATGCCGGGCTGCAGATTGAGACCAAAGATTCGAGGAATCCTGTCAGTTCCTTTGGTTTCAGCCTGGACTGAGGATAGTACATGGAAATTTCTCCCCTGGAGCTGAAAGTCACAGTAGAAGTTGGCGATCAGTAGCCAAAGCAGATCCCCGTTTCCTGACGAGGAATGTTGGGGCGGACCCATCCTCACTCTTGAGGACGAGGGCCATGAGATTTATGTGTATCAACGGGCGTGAATGCACAGCAGGCAGATGCTGGCTGGACGGTGGTATCTTCCATCATCATCATCATCATCATCATCATCATCATCATCATCATAGGTAGTCACATATAATACGTACCAGACCTTCATCTGATGAATAGGTACCTTTAAGCGGGAAGGAAGCCTATATACCCCTCCTCAATCCCATTCCCGTCACCAGCCAGCAGGCGCCCGTCTAGGTCGGCGGGTCAGGTCAAACTGGCTGGGTGGTGGAGTGGTCCAAGGTCAACAATTAAAATCGCCAACCAGCCTACTCGACGACAGGCTTAGCGTATACGAGTACCCGAGTTCGAATCCCAGCATGAGCACCAGAAATTTTCGAGTTCCCAGCATGAGCACCGAGAGATGTAGCCACACCGAGAGATGTAGCCACACCGGTGGTGAACTCTTTTTTGTATTCATGTGTACATGTCTCGCGTCACGGCGTCATGAGAGACATCATTTTGACCTGTATGCTCTGGTTGTATTACCTTGGTACCCTCCGGAGATTTGTTGGTTGATTTATATGCCATTATTGAACTGGGCGTAGCCACTGGAATACAGTTTGCTGTTGGGGAAGACGTCTTCACCGTCGACAGATCGCGGTGGGCGTACTACTGGGTATGTCAAGGGGCCATTGTGCGGCTTAAAATATACCCTGCCCTGAATTTTCATTTAGCCTGGATCAGTGGCATCAATTCAGTGATGATAGTAGTCTGCACGATGGAAGCGGCTTCAAGTCGTGAGTCTCGACGCCGGGATCAAACTTTGAGTCCCATCATGTCGGTGACGAGTGTTGATATGTCGACGAGATCGATTTCCTTCATGTTGCCCGGCGACAACCTCCTCGATGTTCATGTCACTGGTACTCACTGCGCCTCGGTCAGCTGCGTATATCATGGCAACATCCGCTTGTATATCTGCCATGGAACAAGAAGCTTACGGGGAAGAGGTTGCGGTATGCCACGCCTCGCCATTTGATTCGTATACGTGAGCCGCCTCTTTGTATTGTACCATCCGAGCCTACATCGGCGCAAGTTACGTTGCTATACATCGTGTAAATGCGACTCGATTAAGCAGACAAGTATTGAATTCTAAAACAAGTATCTTGAGTTACATCTATGTAAGAACTTCACAAGCAAAGAAGCTGCCTGGCGCCTCTTCTCTGGTGCTACACACGCTTTCAAGTTTGCTGCCTCCTACCGTTGTAGGAAAATTATCAAGGTAGCATTAAACACTACTTGCTACCACTGTGGAAATAGAATTTTAGGGATATATTGTATGGCGAAATGATTATATAAATAGAGACCATATTTGCTCTCGCTATACAACTTCACAGACTCCTCAAGTGAGTCTCCAGGGTAGCGAACTCAATGGAGGGTAATCCTCTGGGTCATTTAGGCACGGGTTCCATGTGTTTACGTCGATCACGTTGTGGCCAGGAGAACCGCCTCATTGGATTTCAACATACTACCACTGCCCTCTCGGTTCTTCCATGAGTGAATCCCACGTGGAATATAATTCAGGTCGTTCCTAGCGAAGGGGGAAGGGCGCGAAAGACGCAATTACTAGATAGTCTCTATCATTGATTGAACGCCACGAGGTCACCGCTTCCACAACGTAGGCTATTGCCAACGCAGTGAACAAAAGGTGCTGCCCACGGCCTGGAGCCACAACACCGACAACGCAGTCGTCCTGGTAGTCAAAGGAAACCTGTGATAGACTTATCCGTACCTCTTTAAGTACTTTCCTGTGGCGGCCGAGAGCTAAAGAAGCTTACAGAGCTCAGGATCTAGGACGTGTTTCGAGGAGTTGACAATAGGGCCCATGAGAAAATCTCCTATTATTCTTTTCTAGGGGTGTTCGCTTAATATATATGCTCGCTGCGTAGACAGTCACATAACGAAGAGATCAGCACTACAATGGGAGCACCTAGCTCCCCGAAGGACAAACCCGCAGTCGGGGCACTTCATTATTTCCGGCGTGGGTCCGTCTCGCAGTTCATGTTTTAGACTTAGTAAATACTAAGAAATGAAGCTTGAATCCGGGCTATATCAGTAAAGATTTTACTCATCACGAACTACCCTCTTCTTCTATAGATTCCCTCACGAATAATCAACGGCTAGAACTATACGACGCTGAGCGATTTAGGTGAAATTAAGCTTATGCCACGACTGATACATGGCTTCGCCTTTCGCTACATGTGGCCACCAACCCCGAGGCTCAGATCTGCCTAGACCTCTGATGAGCACGGCAGTGCCGATGCTACATCCAGATTGCAAACGCAGCCTGAGCATATATCCATGTTAGATCGTACAAGGGGTCACGGAAGGGATTTGCAGTTTCGATAACGGCCCTTCAGATAAGAAACCGAGTCTCGAATCCGAAGTCAAGAAAATTAAGTGATTGTGAATGCTCGCGAGTTCAGTTGCGCCGACGAGCTATGCTGACAAAATAGGTCGGTATTAGAAAAGAACGTACGAAAGGGTGAAGAACTGTTAAGTAGCCCCTGTTCGTAATTACGTACATGGACCAAATAAGACTGGACGTATGACAAGCCGACAGAAGCTTGTTGAAATGAGGGGGTGATACTGCAACCTGCGAGTGATGAGGAGGATCGTGTCCAGTATAAAAGCATAATCGGTTCCCATCTCGCCCGTCGCCTTATTGTATTCAATGAACATAAGTATCGTAACCTTGAAGCCGCAAAGGATGGACAAAGCTGGTACGTCATCCGTGGAAGATCATAGAGTTCTTTGTAATAGTATCATGCTTTGTCTCTCTCATCGGGAAGGACTCTACGTAGGGCTACATATATGCATCGTGGTCTTTCTCGGGGTGTGGCTCATACTAATCGCCACCAGAGATTGGGGAACACACTTGTGAGAAACCCACAAAACATATAGAGGCTATCAAGTCGTTCCGAACTCCTCACCTTCCCCTTACGGAAGGCTCCAGATAGGAAAGGGTTCATAATATCGAGAGTCAACGCACGACATCTCGATGACTAGGGGTATTCTAACAAACCGGAAAGCACCTCACAGCTCCCCGACGCTTACACGGAAGACGGACGGTGCAATCCCCGGGAGTGAAGCGTACTTACTTACTCCAAATGACCTCCCTCATGAGTCGTGAGCCGCAGCGAGTAAACGACACTCGGAGGCCCTGAAATGGGCACCACCGCAGGGTCTTATCGAAAGCCTACCCATAAAGCCCCAGACCCCTCCGCGGGCCGGCCCGAAACAAGAAGGTGAACTGTCGACGAGGAAAACCTCCGACGACTCCCGGCCACGGACGGGTTGGGGCAAGGCTCTGCCGGGCCGAATCAGTGTCCCTGGGCCCCCCCACGTCCACCTCAGACCCCTGGGTCCCGCTTCAGTGAAGAGAGTCGAGCATGTTTGGGGGCGTCCGTCTTCTCTTAGCAAGTCGACGAGACATTGATCTATATCCCAATCGGCATATACGACGTAGACGGGTTTGTAGAATCCTAGCAATGTAGCAAAGCGTGAAAATAAATCTACGACATTCCGTGAGTTAGAAGAGGGACACTCGCTTCAATACGCTAGCCAGACACTTGTCTTGGAACCACCGCAAATCAGAAATCCCGTACCTGCGCGGTGGCACACCTTTAGTCGGGTGGCTGTTGTCTCGTTCAGAAGAATCGAAAAATTTCGGTCAAACAATCAGGCGGTGAAGAAAGAGTGAAGAAGAAATTTTTGTTGGGAAGCCGGAGAAAAGGAAAAGAAAAAAAAGTTTCTTCGACAGTCTCATCTCACCGCGCCACAACCCTCTCGAGAACCCGTCGGTGAGAGACCGGTCAACGTTTGCGCACCGACAGAGATTTTTTTCCTGGCGTTCAGACATGCAGGCGTTGAAACATGTTGCGCTGTCAAAATTGGTGTCATTCGCGCTCCCGGGCCTGCAGAACCTGTCCGTCATCGGCGGATGAAAGAGAGACAGAGAGAGAGACCAAAAAACAAAAGAGGCTGCTTTGAACCCGGGATCCGCCTCCTGCTGATCCTGTTGGGCGGGAGATGCGCCCTTAGACCGGCGGCGTGCGTAAGAAGGCTTGCCGTGAGGTGCCACGACAAGACGCGACTCGGAGGCGGCGATGGCGGCGACAGGAGAGTACTCAAAGCACGTGGAACGATCTCATTCAGTCAAAGGAGCCGCCGGCTGACTTCTCTGTCTCCCGGCCCAGCGACATGGGCTGGTCTTTGCTCCTCGTATCGCAACAACAAGCAGGGCCCGCCTGACGACGCTCGCATCAGAGGTCTCACCGTTGTTTGGCAGAGAAACAACCGGTCATAAATCTGGAACGAAAACCTGGTCGTCGTGCGAGAGCCGAGAACAATTGAGGTCGTTGGGAGAAAAGAGCTGAAGATTTCGCATCGAGTGAAACAGGATGCCATCGGTACGAGTCACTGGCACCATCTGGACGGGGCGCTACAGCTGCTTTCCGGAAAGGCTGACGGCGTCCTGCAGCGAGGCGTCCGAGGCAACTCGATGATGCAGGTGAATGAAACATCTCTGTGGTTGTGACACAAAGCTCTGCAGCACAACATCTCTGAACACCAGAGCAGACCAACCATGCCGCCATCATCCATGTAGCGTGCCGTTG